CACACTCCACTCCCCTTGCCTCTCTTTTCAGTCCACCTTGTCTCCTCCTTTGTCTCTACTAGAACCAATAGCAAAATTCCACCATTTATGCCTCCATCCCTCCTCCCCTCCCCCACACACACATACACCCACACCCACACTAGATCATTTTTCATGTTCTTATCCCGCACGTCAATCCTTTCATCCGTAAGAGCCTCTTTGTCTAAATCACAAACTGAGAACAGATTGTGTAAATATGGAAACAAAATCTTGTCTACAAAAGGAAAGTCTAGTGAGACTTCTAAACATATGTGTGAGGCAGCGTGGTGGAATCAGGCTCTCGTCAATTTTGGGCATATTGAGTTATTGGTATCATCATAAAACTTGTTCATTTGCCTTGCTTTCAATGGAAAAAGTACCCATCCATCTTCAATAGAAGTGGAGATATTTTGGATTGAAGGATTTAAGAGGTAAAATTAGAGTAAATTCCAGAGCTTGGGAGTCCATGGAAACTGTAAATGTATATTTTTGTGCCTTTAATCAACGTTTTCGATGAAATCCTCAAATGAATGTGTTTGTAAATGGGCACAAAAAGTGTTGAGCCAAAAAACGAAAAATTGACAAACATTGCAAAGGAGGGAGAAAACTGCTATTTTCTTCGATTTCATTATCTCGACGAGAGCCTGATTCCACCACGCTGCCTCACAGATTTTTGTTTTGTTTGCATCATTCAGTTCAGTGTCTGCTGCTTAAGAATTAATCTTGAAGAACAGAAACGTCGCAATGTTTTTTTCCTGTTACATGTCTATCTACCTGTGATGGAAAAATGATAGATAGATAGATAGATAGATAGATAGATAGATAGATAGATAGATAGATAGATAGACAGATAGATAGATAGATACGAGTAGATAGAGAGATAGATAGATAGATAGATAGATAGATAGATGGATAGATAGATAGATAGATAGATAGTAATCACTGATAGCAAAGCGAGCTAGGAAATCGTTTCTGCTTATAAAA